TATGCACTTATAGTTAAACCATAGATACATCGAGCACAAAATTTTGATTAGCGAGTGGCTTTCCAGTGGAACTGATATGCGAATCATATTGATGTTAGCCTGCACCAGGCTGGTGTTATGCGTGTGACGTCAACGTTTGTAATATTAAAAAAAATTAATGAAAAACGGTATTGCCAGAGTTTTCAAGAAGGTAGAAAAGTGCCAGAAACAAAATGTATGCATTAAATAAAATTCACCGTAGCCAGTTTGCCAACAAGGTCCAAAGCAGTCTTGGGGATAGTTATCTCAAGATTGTCTCGCGACACGACGATAACGGTAAAACGAGAGGCCTGAAGTGAGCCCAAGCTTTCCCAGTCTTCTTCCGTAAAGAGTTCCTGAGCGTCTGCACGTGATACATCCACTTGCAAAGTCCACATACGATTTCCGTCATCAGGAAATGTCTCAAGGAGTTGTTCCCAGTCATTAAGGTTATCATTGTAGTATGAAACGCACATCTCTAAGGTCAAGCTGATACCAAGCTGTGCTCAGATCACATGAAAATGAATGAACAAAATAATAAAAGGAAAGAAATAAGGAAAAATATGAGAAAATTATTTAAGCATTTTATTCAGAATTGTTATAAATGATAATTGCGAAAAGTCTTAATTTCAAATACAAAGTAAACGTTTACATCTCACAAGTACATTTAAATTTTGAAAAAAGGAGCATAGTACTAGACTCATATATGGTTAAACGGAGGAAAAAATCCTGTGATATAAGCTAAGATAAGGCCTCGTATGTAAATGACGGAAAAGAAGATTAATATTTTATTATACAAGCATCTAGTATATCCATGTGGATTTAGGAACTTTCTTTAAGCTATTATACATCCGACAGCTAATCTAAGCGAATCAACCTAAAAACATAAACTGCTTAGTTAAGTGAATATATATCAATTTTAATAGAACCATTTCGACTGATAAGTTGAGTCGAATGAAATGGCATAAACAATGAAGTGACGATGATATATACCTTTTGTCGCAAAACGAAAGATGCGACAGAAAATTTATTGACCTAGTCGCCACGGAAAAAATACAAATTATTTATTATATTATTGA